TTTGAAGGAGAGAGAGACAGAGCATGAGCCGAGGAAGAACCGAGAGAGAGGTGGACACAGAATCCGAAGCAGGCTCCAGGCTCCCAGCTGTCAGCACAGAGCCCGACATGGGCTTTGAACTCACAACCCATGAGATCATGACCTGAGCCGAAGTTGGATCCTTAGCCAACTGAGCCACCCAGGCGCCCCAACAAGTAGTCTTTAATACGTGTGTTTGTTTTAGAAAAGATTTAGATTGGGAGAAACGTTACAAGCTAGCACCAAGATTTCCCGTTATACCCCACACCTGGTTTCCTCTAGTCTTAGCCCCTTAAATTAGTGTGATTTGTCGCAATTAATGAACTGGTGGCAGCATCTTGTTGCTTGAACGAGGATGGGCCGTGATCTTCTGACTGGCTATGAGAAGTGAGAGGAGTCAGCTTCCTCCCAGGTACTGGGGCCTGGGCAGCTGAGGAACGAGATGCCTTTCTGGGAATCCTGTGGGAGCCGCTGGCTGGGTGGGTGAGGGTGCATACCGGTGGCTTAGATTTTGGTTTGTTATTTTGAGATGCCTATTGGACGTCCAATATTGGGGACGTCAAAAATGCCTATAGATAAATGGGGCTGGGGCATGGTTGCCAAATGAAATGCAGCATTTCATTTAAGTTCGAATTCAGATAAACAACGTGTAACTTTTTCGTGTAAGTTTGGCTCAGACATTACATAAAACATGCTTATACTTAAAAACAATTCTTAAATTTTTTTTTAACATTTATTTATTTTTGAGACAGAGAGAGACAGAGCATGAACAGGGGAGGGTCAGAGAGAGAGGGAGACACAGAATCCGAAACAGGCTCCAGGCTCTGAGCTGTCAGCACAGAGCCCGACGCGGGGCTCGAACTCACGGAGTGCGAGATCATGACCTGAGGCGAAGTCGGCCGCTCAACCGACTGAGCCACCCAGGCGCCCCTACTTAAAAGCAATTCTTAGTGGGGCGCCTGGCTGCCTCGGTCAGTAGAGCATGTGACTCTTGACCTTGGGGTCATGAGCTCAAGCCCCACGTTGGGCCTAGAGCTTCATTAAAAAAATAAATAAATAAAATAAAACAATTCTTAGTTTTGCAGGGGGAAACAAGAGAAATTTCCCATACAGAAAAGCTCCAAGCAATTTTTTTTAGATGCTCTGCCCTCAAGTAGCTGGAGCGTAACTTTACTCTCAGGTGTGGGCTGTGCCTGGTGGGCCCCGTCTACAGAGTACAGTGTGGGAAGGAGAAAAAAGAGTAATTTTATGGGAGAGAAACCTGATAAACAGTATCTCTCTCCCTCTCTCTCTCTCTGCCCTTCCCACACAATCTCTCTCTCAAGTAAATAAACTTAAAATAGATATATATTCAGGGCACCTGGGTGGCTCAGTCAGTTAAGCATCTGACTCTAGGTTTCTGCTCGGGTCACGATCTCACGGTTTTGTGAGTTTGAGCCCCACGTTGGGCTCTGTGCTGGCAGCACGGAGCCTGCTTGGGATTCTCTGTCTCCCTCTCTCTCTGTGCCGCCCCCACTTGTGCTGTCTCTGTCTCTCTCAAAATAAATAAATAAACTTAAAAAATACATATGAAACTTCAACAACCTCGCACCGTGCCCATGGTGCATGCCATCAACAGCCCTCAACGGAGTGATTGCGATCCGTTCGCCCAAGCCCCGTCCTTGCCCCCAGACTAGTCTCCACACAGCATCGTTAGCCCTACTATCCTAAACGTAATTTAGAGCACGTCCTTCCTGGTTAAGATGCTCCCATGGTTCCCGTCTTGCTCACAGTGAAGGTTGCTGCCCTGAGGGCTGAGACCTCTGCGTTCTGTGCCCTCCCATGTGGGCTCTCCACACGCCGCCCTCTCCTCCTCTCCGCGGGCCTCCAGCAGGGTGGGCACCATCTTGCGCGCCTCCCCTCCCTCTCCCAGGAGCACAGCGAGGCTCCACGCCTTCCCTAGACTCCCACCTGCAGTGTCATCCCCTCTGCACCCCAGGTCCCCCTTCCGTGCTTTCCAGTCATTGCTCCTGGGGAGGAGCCGGCCGGGCCCGTCGTGAGCCCAGAAAGCCCAGCCTCCGCGTTCTGTCACACGTCACCTCTTTTTTTTTTTTTCAACGTTTTTTTATTTATTTTTGGGACAGAGAGAGACAGAGCATGAACGGGGGAGGGGCAGAGAGAGAGGGAGACACAGAATCGGAAACAGGCTCCAGGCTCTGAGCCATCAGCCCAGAGCCCGACGCGGGGCTCGAACTCACGGACCGCGAGATCGTGACCTGAGCTGAAGTCGGACGCTTAACCGACTGCGCCACCCAGGCGCCCCAGCGACCCACTTTCTAATCAGGTCCGAACCCAGACCGGAACGTCGCCCGAGACTCAAAAACGAACAAGAAGTCCTCTGTCCTGGCCAGCGCTCTTCGCCAGTCCCAGCTTCAGCTCTGCTCCTGCTCCGGATGATGGACAGGGACTCTCGGTCACCGCATCACCCTCCGTTCCTGGCCACATCCAACCTAGAACAAAGCCCAGCTTCCTGAGACTTCCCCAGAAACCCCCAGAACGAATCCAGATTCTAGAATAGGTTTTTCCCAATGCCAGTTTCTTTTTTTTTTTTTTAATTTTTTTTAACGTTTATTTATTTTTGAGACAGAGAGAGACAGAGCATGAACGGGGGAGGGTCACAGAGAGAGGGAGACACAGAATCCGAAACAGGCTCCAGGCTTTGAGCCATCAGCACAGAGCCCGACGCGGGGCCCGAACCCACGGACCGCGAGATCATGACCTGAGCCGAAGCCGAAGCCGGCCGCCCAACAGACTGAGCCACCCAGGAGCCCCTCCCAACGCCAGTTTCTACCGCACCTTCCTCCGCGCTGGCCTCCTGCTGTGTGTCTTCTCCCGCATTTCCAACCAAACCATTGTATTTAACCCAAGGTGTCTTCCTGGACACTCCTTGGTATTTGACACTAACACCCTATATATTTTACCCTGTCACCATAGTCACCGTCTGTCGCCCCATCAGAACGCAAATTCTTAGAGGGCGGAAATTCGGCCTGACACAGTGACCGGCTTGACGAGCGCATCTGGGCAAAGGGCACACGGTCACTACGCGGTGGAGCCGGTTGTGAAGCCGACTTTGGGAGCCCTTGCTCCCGAGCCCGGCTGCTGGGTTGGGACCAGGACGCTGGGGCGTGGGTGCAGTTTGCTCCCCTGCCTTCCCCCTCTCCAAATTCACCCGTTTCCCCCCTGGGGAGGTAGTTCCCTCTTTGGGGAAACAAGTGGATTGAAATGAATCTGAAGCAACACGAGCCTTCGTTTTCTTCCCCGACTGAGGACGTTTCAGACAATGTTCCAGTAGCGCCATCTTTTGGCAACTGGCCTCAATCGCTGGCGAACTTCTGGCAACCGCGTGCGAGGTCTTAACCCCAAGCAACTGAACCAAGAGATGGGGAGAGGGCAGTTCTGTCTGTGAGCTGCCAGCCCGGGCCTTTTGACACGTAGTTCCTGCGCCGCCCCCCAGAGGTAACCGAGAATCCGTGAGCTCACCCCACAGAGGACGGCACCTCCCATGGTCCATCTCCCCACCTGCTGTCCCCACCCGGCTGGTTCCGGTCTGGATGGAGACATTCTGTCAACAGGAGGCTCCGTCCCCTCCCTCTTTGCTCTGCTGCAGATCTCCAGCCTCTCCACGCCTCCCCC